CATCTAAAACTTTTTAATGATGGTTAATGTTTCCTCAAGGTCAGCTAAGTGTATGTTAATAGTGTGGCTCTTTACCAATATGTCATCCACATAAACCTCTATGTTCCTCCCAACTTATTATTAGAACATTTTAGTAACTATCCATTGATATATTATTCCCATATTTTTAAATCCGAATGGCATAACCCTGTAGTAATATAGACCTTCTTTAGTGATGAAAGTCATGTGCTCATCATCCTTTAGTGCCATTTTAATCTGATTATACCTAGAGAATTCATCTATAAAGTTAACAGCTCATGTCCGGAGGTGGATCAATAAACTAGTTAATGCGTCGAAAGAGAAAAATTATCTTTTGGGTAAACTTTATTGAGATTAGTGCAGTTGATGCACATTCTCCATTATCTATTACTCTTTTTAATGATGACTACATTGATGAGCAACTTTAGGTAATAGAATTCATTAATAAAGTCAAATTACAAGAGTTTTTTGACTTCCTTCTTTATGGCCTCTTGGCAGTCAAGAGTGAATCTTCGAGGCTTTTGACAGATAGCTTTGTATTTTGGGTTTATGTTAAGTCGATGCTAGGCTACATAAGGGTCTATCCTGGGCATATCGTTAGCTAACCATACAAACACTTCTGAGTTGAAGTTAATGAGTTCTCTCTTCTTTTCTTGGGTCAAGGTTGACCCTATTTTTGTTATGAAATTTGGCTATTTCGGGTTTAGGGGAATTTCTTCCGATGACTCCATTGCCACATGGTGTCAAGTCAATGGTGAGGGATCTCGCAGATCCATTTGTTGAACAAATAACTTTCTCTTCTTCGAAAGGGTGACAGATGTTAGGTAGCATCATCCAGATTTCTTAGGGTCACTCTTAATCTCCCCTACTTTTAAACTGGTTAGGAACTTGAGGGTCATGTAATAGGTTGACACTATACCCCGTGTTCGATTGAGAGTAGGTCACTTGATGACAGAATTATAAGCCGAGGGAATGTTGATGATCAGGAACTTGGTTTTCACCTTTCTGTGCAATTATTAGCCTTGAAGGTTATATAGATATCAATAACTCTATCAAGGTAACTGACTCTCTTGTGAAGCCGATAAGGGTGAAGGAGATGGACTGAAGATCATTTGCCAATAAGTCAATTTTCTAAAAGGTATCATAGTATAATACATTTGTAGAGCTTCCTATATTGATCAAAATTCTTTTGACTCATACATTTGTGATCCTAAGGGATACCACCAATGCATCATCGTGCTCCGGGGCTAAGTGGTTGGTCTTTTCTTCCTTGAATACAATCGGTTGATCTCCATTCGGGTGGAACTTTTTAAATTATAACTCCTTTGCATACATCTTTCGAGTAAATGAGCTACTATCCCTAGCCACTGGTCCATCGATGATCACGTCCACTTGTCTCTTAACTAGGTCTCAAGGTCTCGATAAGGATTCTGAATTCTATAAAGGAATTTATTAAGGTGTCCCATTCAAACCAAATATTTGATTTTCTCCTTCAAAGCATAGCAATTTTTTATAGTATATTTATGGTCCTAATGAAAGTGATAGTATCTAGTCATAACCCTCCTTATCGGCAAACCTCTCAAGGGTTGAAGTGTCTTCAAGAGTCCCTTCTCCTGAATCTACATGAATCCTTCAGTGTGAAAAGTATTGAATAGTGTGAACTCCCATCGAGAAGGGGGTCGATCTCCTCTTGGTTTGTCATTCCTTTAGAGCATAGCAATTTTTTATGTTATGTCCATGGTCCTAATTAAAGTGATTGTATCTGATCAAATCCCTCCTTATCGATAGAGCTCTCAAGGGTCAAAGTGTCTACAGGAGTCCCTTCTCCCGAATCCACATAAATCATTCCTTATAAGAAATATTGAGTGGCATGAACTCCCATCTAGAAGGGGGTTGATCTCCTCTTGGTTTATCATTCCTTAGTTTTTTTTTGTCAAAATTAGATTTGGGGTTTCTCTTCTTTTATTATCTTCTTAGTTTTCCCCTTCTTTTTGCTAATGATTATTGACTTGACTTGACAATAATATAGTGGTTGGCTTCTTATAATAATTTTGAAAAAATTGTTAGAGGCTAAGTAATAACTTTATAGAAAACCTAAAGGGTTCGAGATTATCGATAAATACATTGATGAGGACAAAAGGGGTTGGGTTTGCAACTTTGTCAAACTTCATCGTTAAACCTCCTAGTATAACTTTCCAAAGATTCTTTCTCTTCTTATCGTATAGCTAAGAGAGAAGTAGTGGGTTTCTTAAGGAGCCTGAAACTAAGCTCAAACTCTCTATCTAATTGTCTGAAGGATGAGATTAACTCTTAGGCTTAGTCAAAAATATCCAACATCTAAGGGGATCTATAGTTCTATAAAAAGTCATCTGTGAAGTGAATGCTACTATATATTTTGAAGGGTCAATCTTTCCTTCGTAAACGTCCAACATTAGAAGCCTAAAGCCCTGAGGAACTGACATTTTGTTTATATCTTTCATGAAAATAGATCGAGAAAATAAATATATTTTTGATAATTTTCTTACTTTATTTCACCATGAATGTTAGCCAATTGCTAGTTCATTTTATGCATGTGATCTCTAATCTCGATCAAGAGCTTGATCGATTTATCGACTGACTCATTCACGAATTCTAGTTTTTGTAATAAGATTGGGTTTAAGCTACTAATGACAGAGGTGACTTGTGAGGTGCTTGGGTCTGCATTGGATATGATTCGATTATTTGGTTCAGAACGGGTATAGATGGTGGGGTAGGGGTATGAATAAGAGGTGGGTATGTTGAGAAGGTATGAAGCGATGGTTTGGATTATCCCCATTAGAACTTGCATTTGTTGAAGTAGAGCATAAAAGATTTCTACTGAAATAGTTATAATTATGGGAGGAGATTGTTAACTACTTATAACAGGTATTAGACAGTTTATCAATTAGTCATGCTATTTACATAAATCCAACCTTGACATATGTCAATTGATGGTGCATCCATAAGATTATTGTTGAATAGCAAATGATATTGGTAACTAAAATGATAAATGATGACATATCAACTATATGTGATGCTAACGTGTTAGCTAAATCATATCCACTATAATATATCTCTAGTTTATACCAACTCGACCTCACTCCATTAGGCAGCACCCTTCTCTCAACACCAAGATCCAACATGCAAAAATATTACAATACTAAAGTGAAAATATTGTAGAACCATGTTGGGAAAAATTGCCTGACCAACTTTGGTCTAGTCCATCTGCTTGACCAAGTTAGATCGGGCCAATTTTGACCAACAAACTTTGGTGGGATTAATTTTGACTGACCAACCAGGTTTTGGTCTTCCTGATGTGTGACGTTAGTTGCAACCATCACACGCCACTATTTGTATTAAGATTCTTGTAACGCAAATACACGTAAGCTTTCTAGAGCTCATGTCATCCGATGCATCGGACTTGGAGAAAAATACACTCGAAGTGCAACAACGCAACCTAATACATACGTATACATATACATATGAATGAGGTGTCCGACACATCTTAAAATATCTCATTTATATGTAAATATTCAAAATATCATTTGGGCATGATACATCCATTCTAGACCAAAAAAAAAATGTAGTATATAATACAATGAACATCTCTTTTATCTGTGATGCATTCGGTCGAGATGAGTTGACCGAATGATGAGTGTATCTAAAATGCTTGATGAGATCAAAGTGTCTCTTTTTTTTTTAGATATGATGAGTTTACCCACAACATAAAAAGCAAATAAAACTCTACTTAATTTTTTTTCAATACATAAAACAATGATCTAAGTTCTAAACAAACATTATGCTATGAGATGGGCGAAAACCTTATCCAGGAGTATAATAAAAGATAAATTGTATTATCATTATTTTCGATCAATCAAAACTTGACACATAAGTTAATGTCTATCAAAAATGTGCATCCAGGGAAAATATTTCTATATTATATAAAGTGATTTTTTTTTCATTGTGAAGTTTGTAAATAATAATTATAGGCTTATGTTGCCTGAAACGACACTAACTTAAGTTTTACCGAACAATCCAAATAAGGTAAGAGACATATAATATAAATATTTTTTTACTTTTGAAAAAAATTTCTCTTTAAGTTTTAGATACTCAATAATCTTTTTTCTTTGTCACATATAAGAATAATAATAAAATCATAAATTCTAATTATTTACGATTGGCTACATAGATATTATGTCGTTCTTGCAATTAACAAAAAATTATCAAATATAATAATAATAATATAATCATAAATTTTAATTATTTATGATTGGCTATATAGATATTATGTCACCCTTGGGATCAACAAAAAATTATATATTTAATTAAATTTAAAATACTTAATTTTTTTCATAGTTTTTATTAAAAAAATTAATCATTTCTCATTTCATCTCCTCATTCCATTAACATTAGTTATTTCACCTTTGGACGGTCTCTTCTATTCCGTTAATATTAGTCATTCTACCTTCTCTTTTTATTATTACATTATCTATAAAACATATGTTTGTATCATCTTAAATAATTTTTTTATTATACCTATCGGAAAAAAAAATTTAATCAAATAATATACTGAAAAAATTATATTAAATAAATTTTATCAAATCAAATTTACTATATTTCCATTTACATACACGTTCCTTTTCGGTGCTCATGTGGGCCCGTCCGGCGGACCACTGGGAAAGAGACTTCTCGTGCTTGGTGGCTCCGCGGCCGTCTTCTAGAAATTTGAATCCGCGTCTGCTGCTGCCGCTGACAAACCATGCGGACAAGGCAACCAGCGCGTTTTGACTCAAATCGGAAACGATGCAGGGTGAACCACCCACGAGAAATGACACGGTTGACGTGTTCTCGTCACAAGACCGCAAACGACGGGACCCATGGCTCCTGTGAGAGGCAGACGTCACCCCCGAAACCTTGCTCGCGAACGGCGATCGTGTTCCGTTTCCTCGCGCGTTTGAGCGAGCTACCAAAAGGCCGCGGCTGGTCGTCGCCTTGTGGGAGGAGCTTCCTCTGCATCGAATCCTTTACTCTTGTTGGCACCCTTTGCCCCAGAACAAACACCGAGACAACCCCAGAACGAGCCGCTCCTTTTCTCTCCCTGTCCCTCCGTCTTCTCCTTCCCCCTTTACTCTCGACGTCTCATCTGCTCGAGGTCTCAACCCCCCTTCCCTACCTTAAGAGTCTTCACAAGGTAAGAGATTTTTCTTTCTTTTTCTTCCTCTTCTTTTTGCCTCGGAATTCCTCCATGTTTCCATCAAGAATTTACTCTTTTCGCTGTGTCTGTCTTCTTGATGTGATTGTACGAGTTGCATCGTTTTCTTCTTGATGTAACCTAGACATGGAAGCTTTAGTTGCAAGCACCAAAATTCGTTCCGATCCAGCAAAATACTTGATTTATCCTTCGCTTAATCTGGATTAAAGCAGCTGCCTTTGTGAAAACCGATCGAAGAGGCAAAGAATGACGCCCATATCTCTGTTCTGTGTCCTTCAGTCATAATACTATGGCATGGATTCCTGGGTGGTCCGGTCCCAAATTGTTGGTTGCATGACGAGCTAATTTCCGATACCGGAAGTTGCTAGTTACCCTGATATCTCAACATAGAGTCTTTGGTCGGAGAGAATTAAAGCGTCGTATCAGCAACTCTGGTCGGAGTTAGATAGGAATGTGTACCGATGCATCTGAAAAGCAATCAGGCACAAGTCGTCGAGTAACATGGAATTTCTTTTCCTTTTCTGTATATGGTCATTAGACATTGAAGCTCTCAAGACAGATTTCTGACAGCAACACAGATATCGTACCCATGTGGACTCTTAATCTATAGGCCTAAGCGCTCTTGCTATTGACAACATCGAGTGAAGCCAAAGTTCAGAAATTTAAGTTTGTAGCTTTTAGATTTGTTGAACTTATTCATGGAGTGATGTCGGAGGATTGCAGACTCCCAGTATTGGGTTAGAGATGCATACTGATTACGAGGCAATAGATTCCGTTGGATATCCAACATTCACTGCATGTCACACGCTTATGAGTTTTGATCCTAGTTGGCACAGTTTAGTGCAGAAAACATTATGCAGGAATAAAATTGGAACCCTTTAACTTCTTGCAGTTTAGAAGTAAAAACATCTATATATCGTGAGATGACCTAGACAGTGATCCTTTGCATGCAAGTTGGAACATAATTGTGGATGTGATCTAGACTAGAAAAAGGAGTCATTTTCTGTTTGGTGGAAGATTTCAAGGTGGAGAAAATGTTGGGAACTTTGGAGAAAAGTTAAAACACAAGACAAAATAAAGAAGAGCATGACCTGGAACAATGGTGGATTTTGTATGAGGTTAACTAGAGTGATACAGCAAGTGAAGAAGAGTACGGAAGCATGGAAAATCCGCCAGTTTTAAATCACGGTATTACTGATACTAACCTGACAAATTGATTTGTCAAAATATCTGATCTTTCTATCCTGAGATTGCTTTTAGATATGTGTAGACTAATTGTACACCGATCAAAAGCTGACTAATGAACATTTTAAATGAAAAGTCCTTTATAATGCATTCTTAAGATGGATAGCTTGTAGATTTATCTAGTGTAACATGCTTAAGCTATTGATTATTCTTTTGATCCCATTTGCGAAGCGATACAAAGCTCGAGCTAGAAGTTATCATCTTCTCAAAGATCAAATCAGATAACACTAAGTTTGCAGAACAGTGGGATTCTTTCTTGGCATATGATCATTTCTCCATGAACATACTCAAATTCTTCATTCTATAGCTCGTGGCCTTCTGTCTAGTAAATAGCATTCTTCATGCCTATTGCCAATTTGATTTTTGGTGGTTGTTCATGTCCCTGTTTCCTTGGCCCTTTAGTTTTGCTAGAATTAACTTTTGGCATAATGGGACAACACATGTGGGCTAAAATTAACCTGCCGTAATCTTATTTTAACTAGCTGAGATCTAATTGCATTGTGTGACCATACAAACATATATATCTGTGTATTGTTTAGTGAAGCTCCCTAAAATAATAAAAGCATATTTCCTGCACTGGCGCAAAGGTCAATACATATGTAAAAATATGTGAAAAGTACCCACACTTGTAAATATGTGGCCCATATATTTGTCATTGTAGTTGTGTAATCTGTATCCAAGTCATTCTTTGAATGATCTTGTGTGTGTCTCAATTAATTTAGGTCAATACTGGTTTTGATTTTGATTTTTTTTGTTTTACATTGGCCTTTATTCTAATGCTTGTCCCTTGTCTAACAGGTTGTGTGGAATTTCACAAAAGATGTCAAGTGCATCTGAGATGTCAGTAAAGAACATTGAGACCTCTGAGCTACGAACAATGGAAGATGAGTATGCAAGATTAATGTTGCCAAGTGAGACAAGAATGGCCAATTTTGATTCTCAACAGGCAGTTGAGAAAGCTAAATCAAATTCCTGCATCTGGTGGATGAAATTTTTTTTTTGCTGCTTTCTTCTACTGCTACTTATTTTCGTCTTTGTCAAATGGGGAATCCCGTTTGCTTTTGAGAAGGTACCATTTGCCTTCTTCAATTATCTTCAGTTAGAATACTCTGTTCTGCTATATGTTCTAGTCTAGCTATTCCGTTCTTGCCAATAGTTATGGTTAGATATTTTTTTAGGTTACATATGTCACGATTTTTCAGCAGGAAATGTTACACAATCTGCAATGAGAGATGCACATTTATCAGCGAGAATAGTTGTGCCACTCAGGCATGTCTCAGCAAGAATCAAAGGTGCCATTGACAAAAAGGTATTGGCATACATCATGCCAGGTGCCAACGTATGGGTAGGACAACATTCCAGGTGTATCAATATCTTTTGCATCATGTCCAAAAGATATTGATACACGCCTGTGCCATGATATGATAATCCTTGCACATGAATGTATCCCAACCTTAGACTAGGTCTTGAAAAGTTTATTCCAAACATGCTTGGTATGTCTTTATTTCTTAATGTATTATTTTATCTTCCATATCTGAACTATTAAATTGATTGGTTCCACATGTTTTATTTACAAATTGGTTGGTTGTTGACCCTCCATGCTGAAACCTATGAGTTGTGCTGCATCATATGTCATATTCTTGCACTAAAATATGTTTATTGCTTGAACTGCCTTACTTTTGCTAATTTACAACCCAAAAAATATCATCACATGAGCTTGCCTACAAATAAGAGTACCCAAAAATTGCCATTTGGAGGTGCATAGAGCTTTGTATACCATCCCATCATAGCTCTCTGATGTGAGATTATTGAGGAAGATAATCTCTTCCGCACAGATTCGTAACTTGTTAGAGCCAAACGGTGTTAACTCTACCTCATAATATATTCTTGCATCATTGCATTGGTAGTCTTTTCCCACTGGACCTACTAATTCATGCATTTAGATTCTTAGGTTAGATCTAAAACTCTTATTATCTCAACTCATGTACAAAACTACATGAGTTTTGCCTCTAAAAAGAATTCAGAGGTTACTATTATGGGGATGAGCTTTGACTTACGTATGACCTTATGTCATCCAATGTGATATATTGCATTATGTACATGGCTTCAGTTTCTTAGAAGCTGGAAAATATATTTATACTGATCATTCATTTTGACATGTTAATGATTCCATTGAATTACTCTGTAGGTTCTCCTTCCAATTATGGAGTGGGAAGCAACTGCTTTTGGTCGGCCTGTTCTTGCTCTGGTACTCGTTGCATCCTTGGCTTTGTTCCCAGTTGTTTTACTTCCTTCTGGACCATCGATGTGGCTGGCAGGAATGATTTTTGGGTATGGTCTTGGATTTGTTATAATCATGGTAGGAACTACCATAGGCATGTTGTTGCCTTATTTTATTGGCTTGCTATTTCGTGAGCGGATACATGTAAGACCTCTCGATTCCTTATGTCCGCTTTATTCGCGGAGATCAACCCTCACTGAACCTCAATTTTTCTGTGTTTTCTCTTTTCTGTTTTTTTTTATGATCAATGTTCACAGGGATGGTTGAATAGATGGCCTCAGCAGACTGCTATACTTAGGCTGGCTGCGGAGGGAAGCTGGTTTCATCAATTTCGGGTCGTTGCACTCTTTAGGATTTCACCATTTCCATACACAATCTTCAACTATGCAGTAGTGGTGACAAGTATCAAATTTGGACCTTATATTAGCGGTTCGATCGCTGGAATGATACCTGAAGCTTTCATCTACATCTATAGGTTAGTAATCTACCCATTTCTAAATATATGACCATGTTGCTGAATCAACAATTAGGAGCCATGACCAATCATTATGATGCCTCTAAATATATAACTATGTTGCTGAATTAACATACAAATAGGAATCATGCCAAATCTTTATGATGTATAAGAGAAAATAAATTCAGTCCACTTTTTTATGTTTTAAAACTCAAATGTGTTTTGCGTTTTGCATTGAAAAGGTAAAGGATCTGATGCCCAATACTTACCCTTGGTCAGCCCTAGCTGATTTGTACGACTGTCCATCTCGATGTTGTGTTTTTTTCTTTTACCTGGAAATCTTCTTTTCTCCTTCCAAGAAGATCCATGACCTCTTGGAAGATATATTATGGATTCTAAACCTTCTTTTTCTGCTTATATTTTGGTGCAGTGGGCGATTAATACGGACTTTGGCAGATGTGAAATACAGAAAGTATACCATGACACCGGTGGAGATTATTTACAACATCGTATCGTTCGTTGTCGCCATCGCTATTACAATTGCCTTTACAGTTTATGCGAGACGAGCTTTGAGTGATCTTAGAAAGGCAGAAAGCAACAGTAGTGGGGGCATCAACCGGAATGGCAGTTCGGTTGAACTTGCAAAGCTCCCACAAGAAAGATCAATAGTACATTCTTGGCAGATCAATGATGTATAATATATGAAAGAATACAAACACAATCTCTAACCTGATCCTTTGACAAACAAGATGACACCCTTCAACAGTGGAGTTGTAAAAGAAGAAAGTTACACAGTCTCCTTAATATTTTTTCCTTTATTTTCAGCTTCTGTACATATGTATTTTTTTTTATTTTTCCTTGTTGGAAAGGGATTACATTAGTTACATGTGTTGCTTCTTAATTGAGCAAAAACACTCTTAGTTTAGTCCCATTTTAGATGTGGAAAAAGACTTGACTTGCTTTATAATAACTTGATGAATGTATTATATTATCTATAATTTAGCCTTTTTAAGTATTATGGATCGGTCATTAACAATTTTACACATCCTCTGGCAATGATCTAACTATTGTTGGTTGATGTGATGTGATGTGATGACTAATAAGGGTTAACATATATGAGATTGATCATGAGTTCAATCCAAAAAGGTTAAACTTATTATCTATCAAGCCAATATATGTCACCTAGTTTTTAAAAATAGGTAGTAAGTAATCTGAGACTATCAATTAGTCCTCCTCCAATTTTCATCTAAAACGTATTATCTTATATAGATATCTACACAAGAAAAAGTGGGAAAAACTTTAATACCCCAATTTAATCCTATTTTAAAATTAGAAAAAATTTTGAACAAATTCATAGGGACTGTATAGATATACTTCAATTAATATTAGAACGAGATGTAATTTTAATATGAGATATGGTGAGAGACTTGAGTAGAAAAAAAATATAGTAAACTCATCCATCTCAAAGTCTTATTAGTAACTTATCCAAATTTATAACAGGATAGGCATAAAAATCCATATTAGAGTAACTCAATTTTGGTAAGAGAAATATCTCTTTAATACATCCCCTTATTCTTTTCTATATAATAGGAGTGGATGGTAAGTACATTAAACGAATCATTCATCGAATCTTCCTTGATGTTGGAAATATGCCTTAAAAATCTATAACGTTGAGTTTTGGAAACAAAATTAGGTTCTCAATACTTAAAAAGAGCATGTCTTTTTTTAATTAAAAAAATAGATTAAAGGTAAGCAATCACACAAGGAATTCTGTGAATTAAATATTGGATCACCATCTTCCTAAGAATCCCAACCTAAGCCTCAATAAGCACATCTCCTTTTTTTGTATTAATATAAGTGATGAGGATGATAATTACAATAAGACTCGCATGACATTGGCTGACGCCCCACGTCTCTGTCGGGCTGACAGCGCCTAGCCAACACGGGCCAGAACGCCAACCGAGGCCCATTAACGACCGATCAGGCTCGATTCCTCACGCCACGCCAACAGCAATGTCAGACGTCATCAGAAGGTACGATCCTGCCCCCTGCGAGCAGGCACGTCAGGTGACACAAAACTCCCCTATAAATATCCTTACGTTCTGAGCACTGGGGGAGGGGAAAAACGACGGACTAACTTAATCATCGGAGGGGTCGGGTCGAGCATCTCGACCCGACCTATGTGTAGGGATGAAGACGAGGCGACCCTCTCCAAACGCATTGGTGAGGAGCCGCCTCCAGAAGGAAACGACGACCCACCTCCACGATCGAACTGACTCGAGCCAGCAACCTCCATAGTCCCGAGGAACCCCCCCCTTGAGAGATCTCCCGTCATCCGGACCCGAACCGAGCCGCGTCGGCCCCGAGGCCACGGCTTAAAGTTGTTTACACCAACATTTTTGCGCTAGAAGGAGGGCTCCCATGTCGAGGGATCGCCAGACAGACTCGGTCGAACTCGCAGTCGAGGGGTCTCACCCAGTCGGGGCTCCGGGGGAACATTCCCCGCGGACGGGTCTCCGCAACGAACACCCCGCCACAACTTCAGAGCGCTATTGGCGGATCTTTAACGACCGGGGTTTGTTGCCGCCCGACGTCCCCTCCGCCGAGCCGTCGCCCGTCTCGTCTAAGGCCTTTCTCGACCTCACCCATCAGGTCCAAGTTCTGACCGGTATGGTGCAGTCCATCATTCCACTCGTCTCACGAACACTGCACCCGCCGGCCGCCGAACCGGTGCGACAGCAGGAGCCGCCCGTTCAGGCTCATGCGCAACCCCTGGAGCTTCCCGCTTCGCCTCGGGTCCAGGCGTCCCCACTCGGGGATCAAGCGACGGCGGACCGGAGCAGCCATGCGCAACCCGAGGCCCTTCCGTTGGCCTCGACGGACTCCCTGCGAGCCCAATTGCTCCTCATCAGTCAACGGCTTGACGAGGTGCAGAAGGAGGTCCGCAGGTCAAGAGGAGAGCTCGGGGAGGACGTACATCAGGGATCCCCATTCGTCCCTGAAATACAGGATCAGACAGTCCCACAGAACTTTTGTCTCCCCTCTCTGGACACATACGATGGCTCCACCGACCCAACGGACCATGTCGCCGCCTTCCACACCCAAATGGCACTGTATGGAACCTCTGACGCTCTGATGTGTAAGGCGTTCCCCACAACTCTGAGAGGACCAACCAGCGCGTGGTACAGCGGCTTGAGGATCGGGACGGTCGCCTCATTCGACCAGCTCGCCAGAGACTTCAAGCTCAAGTTCTTGGCCAGCGCTCGGTCGAAACCGTCTGTTGCCTTGCTTCTCGGACTGCACCAGAGGGAGGATGAGTCCCTCTCCCACTTTGTGAACCGTTTTGCAATGCAGATCCGGGGATTATCTGATGCTCACCCCTCTCTGTTGATGCAGGCGTTCATGGCGGGACTGCGACCTTCCCGATTCTTCTGGTCCCTCGTTGAGAGATCCCCCACCGCGCTACTTGAGATGCTTCAGCGGGCGAACCAGTTCGTCGCGGCTGAGGCTTGGATGGCTGGAAAGCAAGAAGAGCGCACGAGGGTCAGACCGGAGCCGGCTCCCGGGCAGCAACCTGCCGCGACTAGGCGCAGGCTAGACCGATCCGACCCCCCCACTCCGAGGCCTCCTCTTCCCCCCCTGGGTGCGTCCCAAACGGAGATATTTCTCCAAATAAAGGAGAGAGGGTTACTCAGGGCTCCCGTCCCGATGAAAAACCCACAAGAGCTCGCCGACCAATCCAAGCATTGTCGCTTTCACGAGCAAAGCGGGCACGACACCGAAGACTGCCGCGAACTGAAACGACAGATCGAGGAGCTTGTCCGCGGGGGTCACCTCAGTCGGTACATCCGACGGAACAGGGAGCCCTCGCCTCGCCCGGAGGGCCCCACGGAGCGCCGCATTGATGTCATCACTGGAGGACCGGCGATTGGGGGAACCAGCACGTCCGGGAGGAAGGCATATGCCCGTTCCGCCAGGACTGACGCTCCCCAACGCGGCCTCGACCCCAAGGTCGCATTCCCTCCCGAGGACGTCAAGCGACCAGAGCATGACGACGCGCTTGTGATAATGGCTCGAATCGCTAACGCCCAGGTAAGGAGAATCATGATCGACACCGGGAGCTCAGCCGACGTGCTCTATCTGGATGCCTTCCTGAAGTTGGGGTTAACCAAAGAATCCCTGAAGCCTATCTGCTCAGTGCTCACGGGATTCACCGGCGATTCGGTCTCACCATTGGGGACTATTACCTTGCCCCTGACCTTGGGAGCGCCGCCCAGAACAAAGACGGTGATGTCCACCTTCTTGGTGGTAGATCTTCCTACTGCTTACAACGCCATCCTTGGCCGCCCCACCCTCAACAAAATCAGAGTTGTAGTTTCCACCTATCATCAAACGGTGAAGTTTCCTACCCACGCCGGGATAGGGGAAGTTTGGGGAAGCCCCCAAGAGTCCAGACGATGCTACCTGACGGCGGTTTCGCTGCACAAAAGGGCGAAGACCGACCAATCTCTAGAGGACCCGAGAGAAAAGAAGCGGTCGACACCACATCCGGAGCCGACGGCGCCCACTTGCAATGTACCGTTGATCGAGGATCGCCCAGATCAGACGGTCCAGGTCGGGTCGGAACTCCCCGGGCAAGAACGGGAGCAGCTCGTCGGTTTCTTGCAGGAGAACGCCGATGTCTTCGCCTGGTCGCCATCTGACATGACTGGCGTCGACCTAGAGACCGCCTAGCATCACCTGAATATCTCGCTTGATGCCCGGCCAGTAAAACAGAAGCCACGACGTCAAGCCCTCGACAGGCAACTCGCCGTCCGCAAAGAGGTGGAGCGACTCTTAGCTGCTGGCTTCATCGAGGAAGTCAAGTACCCGCGATGGCTGTCTAATGTAGTGCTGGTAAAGAAATCTAATGGGAGCTGGAGGATGTGCGTTGACTATACGAGTCTCAATCGTGCATGCCCGAAAGACTGCTATCCCCTCCTAAGGATCGATCAGCTGGTCAACGCAACTGCCGGGCACGCCCGTCTGTCGTTCATGGATGCCTTCTCCGGCTACAACCAGATCAGAATGGCGCCCGAGGACCAAGAGCACATGACTTTCATCATCGATCTAGGGGTGTATTTCTACAAAGTCATGTCGTTTGGGCTTAAAAACGTAGGCGCCACCTATCAGAGGGCCGTGAACAAAATGTTCGACGCACAAATCGGGTGAAACGTCGAAGTCTATGTCAACGACATGATCGTGAAAAGTCGCATGGTGGCAGACCACCTGACCGACTTGGCCGAGACATTCTCCACACTCCGGAGGTATGGCCTGCGACTAAACCCGACGAAGTGTGTTTTCGGCGTCAATTCGGGAAGGTTCCTCGGATTCATCGTGCATGAAAGAGGAATTGACGTGAATCCGGAAAAGGTTCAAGCTGTCATCAACATGCAGGCCCCTCGAACAGTCAAGGACTTGCAACAACTAAACGGATGGCTTGCTGCCTTATCTCGGTTTCTATCTCGGTCTAGAGATCGTTGCCTTCCCTTCTTCCGGGCATTGAAGAACCCCAAGGACTTCGGTGGATGATGCAGTGTGAAGAGGCTTTTGGACAAGTCAAGCGGCACTTGGCCAACCTCCCCCGTCTTGCCTCGGTTACTCTCGAAGAAAAGCTCAACATTTACTTAGCCGCCTCCCAACCAAAGAGGCTTCTAGGGAACAACTACTGGTCTATTACATCAGCCATGTCCTGAATGGGCCCGAGGAGCGGTATCCGCCAATCGAGAAGCTCGCTTTGGCACTCGTGCTTGCGTCTCGGAAACTACGCCCCTACTTCCAAGCTCACCCGATTGAGGTA